GGTGAACTGCAAGTGCACTGACCTCACGTAAAAATAAAGTTGATGGGAACATTCGATTGAAACACTGTTCGATTGAAATTTTGGGCAACGTCAGTCTCGAGGGGGGGTTAAAGGGATTACACGCAGTTGGGTACCTGTGTCTTGTACACACGGATGATATCCCACTGAAAGAGATGTAGAATATCTTATCAGTTTATAGGGGCTCTTTGGTGTCAGCCACCAGATAGGAGAGATCTCAGTTGTACTAAATTAGGACATAAGTGTCTAGATTAGGATTACAATATTCTGTGGGGTTAAATGTAAATAAAAATTCAGTTCCCCTTTTGATCTTAAAAAGACACGTGTCTTGCGAGGCGTCTTTGGTCGTTGATCACTGATCACGACGAGTTGGCGACACCTCCTGAGGTAGCTAGCTACCCTTAATCACTAAGTGCTGTCGATTCACTAAATCGTTTGGTCCCCTGGAACAAGGACCATAAGCTTTACGCTTGTTGACTCATTGAGTCTAGTTCTAAAGAGCTAGACTCAATGAGCGTCAAAACTTCCTCTGACTACAGGAGCTGTGTGGCTCCGCTACTTATGTGGCGCTTTTTTACTTTTAATTAGCCATGCGTGACGCCTTCCGAGATACTGCTAACGATAAAGAAGCAAGTTACGAAGCTTGCACTTTGTCAGTTGAAGATGTCTTAACAATAGCGTCGATTGCTCTTTCAGCCACAATAGATTTTGATTCGTGTTCGTGAATAAATAGCATTATTTTCACGTCCTTAACGATCGTAGCAGCGAATTTTAGGACTCTTATCTTTCATTGTATCTGCGGCAGTCGTTGCTCTTGCCTTTACGGCACGTTAAAATTATGCATGCAGCTGACCGCATGTTCAGCTTCTTCCAACGCAAATACTCATCTTGCGCACGACCAGCGTGCTCTTGACTTCGAGCTTGCTTCTTAGGCCGCAGCCTTTCCACGACGACTCAAAGCTATGATTGAAATTTATTGGATGACTTTAGTATGGAGATTTAAAAAACAGGGAAAAATTAAAATCTGTTGCTTGAAATTACAAAGTGCTTGTGCTATTGCGTTCCGAGCCAAAATCGGATAATTTTGTATGAGCTTGTATTGCCATTCAGATAGACTTTGTCAACGTATTAAAAGCAATGCGCAAGACTTTAAAAAGTGCGAGTTATTTGCTATTCGAATTGAATTATTTGGTATTATTTTTGGCTTAATTTAATAATAGAGAAAGTGCGAGAGAGACAAGTGCAATGTTTGTGCAAAGAAGAGCCAAATAAGGGAGATTGAAAATGGCGATTCATGTCGCATAGGATGACACTTTGTGTGTGTGACAGTTTCCAGGCGTACGATACTTGGTGTTTGTATGTATGGAATTTTACATTAGCACTGGAAACGTGTGTGTGAATATGGAGCGTGTTGCTACATGCATCTAGTGTTGGCGCTGTGTAAGAGAGGAAGTAAAAGAGCCAGTGCGCATGTGCATGTTTGTAAATGTATTTCTGTGTTATGCACGTATGCAGGTACTTATAGGTGTGCGTAAGCATTGTTGTCGTAGACGGCCATATTAGGCAGATATCACCTTATCCCGTTCGCTCTGAGAAGTTAAGCTGCCTCAACACACTCCCCAATGAAATATGTCACAGATTATAGACACTAGAAACGATCCGGTTCCCTTTCAGCAGTTTCAGGTACTCTTTAACTCTCTTTTCAAAGTTCTTTTCATCTTTCCCTCACGGTACTTGTTCGCTATCGGTCTCGCACCAATATTTAGCTTTAGATGGAATTTACCACCTACTTTGCGCTGCATTCTCAAACAACGCGACTCAAAGAAAACGGGTCGTACGCATAAACTACTCAAGTATGAACGGGAGTTTCACCCTCCATGCTGTCCTTTTTCAAGGAACTTATCTCAAGTGTCCACACTGACCACGCTTCTATAGACTACAATTCGCCGCACATAAATGTGACGGAGATTTTAAGCTTGAGCTCATCCCGCTTCACTCGCCGTTACTAGGGGAATCCTTGTTAGTTTCTTTTCCTCCGCTTATTAATATGCTTAAGTTCAGCGGGTAATCTTGCCTAATATCAGGTCCGTTTGAGGTGTCTGTCTCCGCGAAACCGTACTCAAAATTCTCCCCAAGTAATCTTTGCGTTGTCTTGATGCGATCTAGCATTGAGTCACTTTCGTTCAGATACAGCGCAATGTACTCACTCTTTACTACTTCGTTTGCGCTGCACTGGAGCTGGTGCATCCAATGGACGTAACGCAGGATACTTTGTGGATGATGAAAACCTCAGCATCGTAAGTGTCGTCAAGCGCCACCATGATGATAGACCTGGCCATCTTTTGACGAAGCAGCACATCATTATTTGGACCCACTATGCGGGTCACCGCGTTACTCTTCAACTTCTGACTCGTCTGGCGTGGGAGTGCATACACTATTTAAAAACCCTTTCACTTCAAGACACATCTTGTCATGAGCAAGCCAAACGGGGAGTGACTTGTCCGTGAAGACCTTCGGCTTGAGCGTGAATTAGGCGGCGGAGCTCATACCCTGTAAGATTGTTGAGATAGAGGAGGCAATTGGGGGTAACGATGTTGACTCAAGGGTTACATAAATCGAAACGAAGTGTTTACTCTTCTACCTCGTCATGTTTGCTCGATATCGCACTACGCCACGATCTGATGCAATTCGTGGTCCTGTAACCTCTAGACCCAATGATGCACAAGTACCCACGAGAATCGTACCTACACAGGGACTACATTGTGTAGGCGACCTGGCGTCACCACGGTTGTGAATCCAGCGCACAGTGCGCACACTATATCCAACACCCGAGGCATCATTCCTGTCAAGCTTGCGGGCCTCGTGTTCAGTTAAACAATAGAATACGTCTGCGTCGATACCAACACATGTACGTTCAGATTGAAACAAATGGTATATATGATTATCCGCTTCACCATGAGAATGGAGTTATTTGCATCGATAATATACGAACACATGTATTCACGTGCGTCGTGACCAGGTGATCATCATCGCCCGGGGAAGCTACGAATCTCAAGAGGCCTCCATTGCTCATTATATTCGATGAGCGGTTGAGGCGTTTCCAGAGGTTTATTCTCCATGCACATGCTAGGATATAACGCGTGGGAGGACAAAAAGTCGCATGCGACCTGTACCAGAGTGCCAAACGAAACAAAAGGCAACTCTGCAACGCCTCTATGTATCAATTTCGCCCTCCTTTATTCGGCGAGTTGCATCCACTAGGTGCCGAAAACATGAAATCGTGGCAGTGAGATGTGGCGTAATTTCATTTTTCTACTTAACACGTCAATGACGCAAGTTTATCACCTCCACTTTCGAGTTCAATAATCAATACAACCATCATACGTGCCACACTCCAGGTCATAATGACACGGCTACCCACATTGGTGCTCATAACTCCATGACTAACGCGAGTTAGACGTTGTCATTTGAGCACGATATGCGTAAAGCTTTACAACCCCCTCTGCAGTGTTAAAAAAAATACGATAATACGAATCGATCTCATAGCTCACATTCAAAAAAACGCCTTTTTAGCCTGGCAAAAGTATACGGCCAAAAAGCATACACATTTTAAGTAGAAATGTAAATGGTTTTCTGCATTCCTATATTGCGATGAGGATCTAAAATGTTCATCGGACTCGTGGTTTGTCTCGTTTCTTTGCATTTTGAGAACTTCGATGCAACGGTGCTGCATGGAGTCGATCAAGGTCACCAATGTTTCTTGTTGTATATTCTTTCACGGTTCGAAAGTGCCGAGTTTAGAGCTGATACACAATCGTACTGTTTTCCGTCCTAATATACCTCTCTGGACATACTCACACGTTCTCGATTGAATTCAAATCTGGCGAATGAGCAGGCCAGTCCATCACACATTCACGCGTTGCTCAGCGAAGAAGTCTGTCGACATCGAAGAAGTATGGATGGCCGCGTTGACTTGCTGAAATAGAACATCTGTACCGCATTCGCGATGAGCAAAAGGCATCAAATACTCGGATATCGCGTAAAAATAATCCTCAAATTTTGATTTCTCACCAATACGACCAGCTCAGTCTTTCCGACTCTGTTAAGTTCACCCCAAACCGTAACGGAAACCCCGCCAATCTGACGACGATTTGTCTGCCTAATTGAGACACGCATGTGCCTCCAATAGTGCTGTAGGTCGTCTGACCCGTCGAGGTTCCATTTCGTTTCTTCAGAAAAAATGATCGACATCCATGCACAGGGAAGTATCAGCATCTCCTTCGACCATGCAGGACGACGCACTCTATGCATATCCGAAAGATGAAGCGCACTCTCCATTTTTGTGTACAACAGCCAAACTACACATTAGAGAATGCAGCGCACAGTGCGAATCGAGCACTTCAGCTCGAGCTGATGATGCAGCTGTGTTACTGAGTAATTTCTGCTCGCTGACGTGCAAACCAGCGCACGAAGAGCACGATCGGACAGATTTTGTGGTATGCCAGTGCTAAAGCGGTCGACGTGACCGCTCACAGTACGCCTAACTTCGTCATGTCACCAATTGACAGCATGCGCAATGGCGCGCCATGTTAGGCCTGCTTCGTGCGAGTCTTGAATCCTCCCACGCTCTAGGTCAATTAGCGCTTTCCCCTTCCCCATCGAAACCATTTACATTTTTACTTGAAATGTGTATGCTTCTTTGTTCGTATACTTTTTGCCGGGCTAAAAAGCGTTTTTTGAATGTGAGCTATGAGATCGATTCATATTATCGGATTTGTTTTAGCGCTGCAGAGGGGGTTGTAAAGCTTTGCGCATATCATGCTCAAAACGACAGCATCTAACTCGCATTAGTTATGACGTTATGAGCACCAATGTGGGGAACCGTATCATTATGACCTAGAGTGAACTATAGTGTAGCCATCCGTGACGCCAGTCATTCATTGCGTGAAAACAAACAGCAACCTGATCAATCACCACTTGACATGGCAGCGCTCCGAGACTCCATCGAGTTGGACGGCGGCGAAGACTGGGACGATTGGGTCGATGACAGCTCGTCTGTTAGTTTCGTCTGCGTCTTTTGTACCAGCAAGTTCCGGACTGAGGCGCCGCTACACGCACATCTCCAAGAGACGCACGACTTCTCACTGCACCAGGAGATCTTGACCCACAAGCTGGACACGTACGGCACGATCCAACTCATCAACTTCCTTCGATGGAACGCGCTGAATGGAGTTGCAGCTGATCGCGTCAAGCAGACACTAGCCACGGAAGGAAGCGCTGCTTTCCAGAAAGACGAATTCCTCAAGCCAGTGGTGGCAGACGACCCGCTGCTCTATTGTCTTGACTGCGCCGACAGCGACAGCAGCGACGATGGAGACGAGCATGAAGCTGTGGAAAACAGGAAAGGTGTAAAAGTGGAGGCTTCCTCCGCTCGAGATGACACTAGCGACCTGGCTGCTAGGCTGCAGCGAGAGAATCAAGCGCTCAAGCAGCAAGTCGCCAGATTGTCAAAGCTTGTGCAGGACTTTGTCGTCGATGGTGAAAGCGATGCGCCAATTGAGGACGCTGCAAACAACGATACGTATTACTTTGACTCGTACTCGAAGGTGGATATCCACCGCGAGATGATCACGGACAGGGTCCGCACTGATGGGTATCGGAATGCGATTCTCAACAACCCGGAGGTGTTTAAAGGCAAGGTAGTGATGGATGTTGGCTGTGGCACAGGTATCCTGAGCATGTTTGCTGCTCAGGCTGGTGCTGCGAAAGTGATTGGCATCGACTGCAGTGAAATGGGAGACGTGGCGCGCGAGATTGTAGTAGCGAACGGTTTTAGCGATGTTACCACTATTCTTCGCGGCAAGGTGGAAGACATGGATCTGCCTGTCGACAAGGTAGACATCATTGTCTCAGAGTGGATGGGCTACTGTCTTCTATACGAAGCAATGCTGGACACGGTGCTGTTTGCACGAGACAAGTGGCTTGCTCCGGATGGTCGCTTGTTCCCTGACAAGTGTTCGCTGTTCATTCAGGGTATGGAGGACTCATCCCAGCGGTTAGCTTTCTGGGACAACGTCTACGGTTTCAATATGCATCCCATCAAGTCCAAGATCTCGATCCGAGACGCGTTCGTAGAAGACGTTCAGCTGAGTGACATTATTACGAGTCGCGAGCTGCTGCAGAAGATTGACATTGATCACGTCACATACGACGAGCTCGACTTCCACTCGACCTTCACTCTGTCCATCATGAGGGATGCGACCATGCACGGGTTCGTGTCCAGCTTCGACATTGGATTTGAGCGCGGTATCCCGCACCCTGAGTACTTTACAACGGGATCCGAAGGTGTGCCGACGCACTGGCACCAGGTCTTTTTCCATATCTCGGAACCCTTTGCCGTGAAGAAAGGTGACCGAATCGACGGTAAATGGTGGGTGCGACGGAACGCTGAGAACCCACGTTTCCTAGACGTTGAGATTCAGTGGAAGGAAGCTGTCGAGGAAGCGTTCCTTGTCCAGCGTTATCGTATTCATTAGATCCCGAAGTGGCAGAAGCATGCTTCCCTGAACATATTGCACCATTCTCATTCTTTCTGCGATTATACACGGCGCATAATGTAAATAACGGGATATTGCAATACGATGGAAGGCAGCTGAATCCCTTGGATCAGACTGAGATAGATAGCAGTACCACGATCGAAGATAAAATTGCATGTGCTTCAAGACGTAAGTGAGCCCAACGTACTTGCAGTTGTAAAGGTCGTAGTAGCAGCAGGTCCATCGTCAAATGGACCACCTCGGTAATTCACGTCGCAGCATTCTGATCGGAGGCAGTATGCACTGCGCTACATACATCGCCAACTCCCACACACATTTTCGTTGTCGGCATTGTCTGCAGATCAGCATCGTACGACGCTTTACTAGATGCCACCACAGGTCTGAGCTCTCGCTTTAGTGATCGTACGAGCAGTGACCAAGTTGCACTTCAGAATCAGGCATTGACCAGCAACTGTTTCGGTCGCATGCCGGACAGTTCTTCGCAAGCCACAACGGGCCGTCAGTATTGATTCCCAGATTTGACTCCTACAACGCTATGAATGCAGCTTTACTTGGCTAATGACGTCCTTCACCAGTGCGGACATTGCTGACACCTTTTCGAATTCCTCACCTCTCGGTGCGATCATGGCCAAACACTTTAGTAGCAGATAGTGAGTAGAAGTAAGCGATGGCGTGAGATCGAGCTTCTCGACGAGAGGATCCGCCACGAGAGGTGGCTGAGTATCACTAAGCACCCAAGCAAACACGTCTGCAGGCAGCATGCTCATCAGCACAGCGTACTCTGCCTCGGTCTTCATTCGCCGCAAAATAAGAGACAGCCGGGCTCTAGCAATAGCTGCTAGCTTCAGTACCAATCGGTCTGGCCTTCGCAACTTTTCGACTGCTAGATCCGCTCGCTCGTCTAGCCCGGACTGATATAAGAAAATCACATGCTCTTCACGAATCACCTCCAACGATAGTCCGAACGACTCTGCAAGCGCAAACCCGAGCGTTTCGTCATATCGGAGGAGCTCCTTTGATAACCTGACCCGATTTTGGCTGATAGAAGTCACCTCCTCTGCGCTCGGTTGGACGAGCGGCTGGCCCATTTGAAAGCTACCTGGACAGCACAAGTTTCGCCCATGATTTGAAAACAGCTTAACAATCGAGATCGGGGTAACTGCTGTTGCAGCGAATGAGTCGAGCAGCGTGATCAAACTGATGTGATCTGCAATTCGTAATGCCGAGGCTGTATCCAGTTTAAAGCTTTGCAGCGCTTGCATAAGCACAGATGTCTCGTACAAGGGTGGCCAATGACGCTGAAAGACCACAGTGAGATCAATCACCGGGAGACGCCATCGAAGAGGCTGCGTCAGACTTTTCATTTTATATTCAGCGATTGGCGGCTCGTTATCATCGTCGTATGATTCAGCACCCTCACTTTCTGCATCGTCAACATCGATCGCATCATCCACGCTTGGCACAGCTCGTACAGTTGAGACTGTCTGTACTGAAATCAACAGCATTACGAGGAGGTTTCGAATAATGCCGAAAAAGCGTCGAGCGACTTGTGGCTGGAGACCACGTTGGGGCTTCTTACCCGCAGCACTTTCCTCCCAAAACGTAACCAGTGTTGCGACGTGCACGCGAATATATCGCTCCCAGATATATGCCGCCATTGCTGCTTTCAGTCGGAGTGATTCCACACAGTCGAGCTCTAGCAGCGCACGTTCAAGCTGACGCATGTCGGACCGCTCAGCATTCCAAGCAGTGCAAAGAGCTTCGACACGGAAACAACACAAAGCATCTTTGTTCGATAATTGAGGATACGCACACAGCACGGCTGTCCAATCTTGCATATGTGTAGCCTTTCGACAATCTTCCATAGTTGCAACCCACCTGTCTGTTCCGTCATCATCAACTTCGACCTTGGCACGGTCTTTCGGCAGTTGCACGGCAGCGTCGTCTTCACCAGCCTCGTGGCCGTCGTTAAGCTGCATCACAGCAACACTCTGCATGACGTCATCCACATGTTCGACAGCGTCAACGGACAGACGACCAGCTTTTCCAAGCCGAAACGACAAGTGCATAGTTTTGGCAATACAGTCCTGCAGAATGGCCCACCGTGCACCGCAAGCAACACTGCTGTACTTTCCAAACGTGGCCTCTTCGGCATGCTTTGCCGACTGCTTTTCACTCCACGCACAGTGCGCACTCAGCACAAAAGCGTGAAAAAGCTTTGGAGTCTTGCAGCATGAATCGAAGATTTCCACAACCGATGGATGACAGTTACGCAAACGAAAAAGGTGATTTTCTGTCGGCATGTACGACGCCTCGGCGTCATCCTCTTCTTGCCCAATCGCTGTCTCCGCATCTGTAATAACGAAATATGGTTGCAGCCAACGTTGAAGAGACGAGGACGATGAAGGAGGGGGGAGGGCGAGTACCACGCCAAGAGGTAGTGAAAAATACCACTCAACAAATAATCGTGCGAGAGTCTCTTCCGTCAGAAAGAGCGTAGAATGTAGCCCTTGGAGCTCCTACACAGTCATACACATGTCAGCACTCGACGCAGATCCATCAGCACTCGCCATTCATCTAATATACCTGAACCGCAAAGACGCTCGATAGCGCGGGAGCGAAAAGGAATGCCAACAGACAATTTCGATGCGCTGGAGTCGAAAACTGGCGCAAAACCGGAGTCCTTAACACACGGAAAGCGTCACGCAAAAAGTGCTCGTCTGTCTCAGCAGCCTCGAATAGCGATAAAATGTCCCGGCGACGAGGCAAGTCATGATCGTCAAATGGCATCGAAAAAAATTCCATAAACTCCCATGCAGTGAGCTGACTGGCACTATCGCTTGCTCTGCACGTCTTAGCACGCGATTCATCATCGAGGGCAAGACCGGCTCGACGATATAATTCAAACCACGGCAATACACGAGGAAAAAGCGAGCGTGCCCGTCTTTACAGCTAGCACTTGTACTGATTTGCAATAAGATATCACGATCAGAGGTCTGCATCATTGATGTGAAAGCATGCTTTCCACTCGCAAACTCCTGCACGTGCAAAGCCATTAGGTTAGACAGTTCAGAAGAGCGCATGAAAAAATGCACGAAGTGCAAAATACACTTACAGCTTGCAAGCCGATGAAAGTAGATACCAGGCGGTGCTGCCAAAGCAGCTTCCACTGGAGAGACAAGCTCGCCCCTGTCGGTGTTGTAAACGCCACGCCGTTCTTTAGCGCCTGCAGAGCTACGCGTTAGACAGGTAGATGAGTCAGCGGCATACAAAGGCTACCGTACCAGCTGTAAATTCTCCAGTGCCTTTAGCAAGAAGGCGGCATCGAGCAATGCCATACCAGCCTTCAGCAAGACATCTAGAAGTGTCTGGATTGTCGTCAACGCAGAAAAACTACGCATGTCTGCTAGTAGTGGGTTCAGCGTATCGTGGTCGAGTGTATTAATGCTCTTTTTCTTCACAAACGCACGAAGACTGCCAATCACTTGGTGCAACAGGAATTGCTCCTCTTGAAGTTTGTTTTGCGTGAAATACTTCATCAAAGTCGATGCATTCGGTAGCCCAGGTTTCAGCTCGATAACTTCAGACACATTGCCGCTCGTTTTCGTCAAAACATAACACTTTGTCCTTCTTGTGGTAGGATCAAACTGCGTGAAGAGCTTGGCGCAGTTACCCACTGCAAGGCTGAAAACTCGGGGACCGTATCGTGCACGCCATACTTCGACGATGCCTCGTTGAGCAGAGTAAATGACCAAATACAATCCAAGCGGGCGACGAGCACCTTCCAAGCCCTGCATCCAGCCACACTGTCCGTTTCGATACCCTTTCCACATCCGCACTACAACCATTCGAGCAGTATCAATCAGTAAAACACGTCCAAGCGTGTCTGAAACAGCCGCTAATTTGCCCGTAGGACTCAAAACTAGGACTCGACACCGCCGCCGTTCATCGTCGTCAATCGATCGAGTCGAGCCAAGTTGAGTCGGCACGTGCTCCACTGCACTATCAATCGCGCCTGCACCTAGCGAAGCATATGTCGGTTGCTGCCCGTCTTCACGACTCAATGCGCTTTCCGTGCCTCGTCTCCATCCCCACGTCGTAGCAAAGTGCCACACGGCTCCCGCAGCTTTGGACGCAATAGCTGTCGCAATTTGCGCCAAGTGAATGACCGAGTTCTGGTCACTACCTGCCTGGTAGAACGAGAGAAACGGCGCTGAGCCAGCACTCATGATCGTGCAGACACCAAGACGAGCGTGCGACTGGAAGATCGTGGGTCTTACAGGTCCACACGGAACTGCAGTCATGACGTCTGTCTGGCCTCGCAGCGAGTACTTTCGGAACTTCTGAGCGGATCCAACTCCTCCGGCACACAGCGTGGCGAGGACCTCCGAGATCTGGAGAATCACGACAGTGGAGTCGGCATACAAGACCCACAACTCGGCGGCCTCTGTCTCGTTCCTGACTTGACTGGATGGCAACGCGCGTCGCGGCGCCATGGTCGCCACGTCTCTGTTCACACTCACCTTGTGCAATGCTGCACTGTGCAACTGCTGCTCAAACACGAGCGTGCCAGAGCGGGTGAAGAGCCGCACGATGCCTGTGGTGTAGCCCACGCAGAAGCGCTCGCAGTCGAGCCACGTGACGTCGACCACGTGCTCGTGCTCCTCGAGATGGACGGTCTCTGCGTCGACGAGGAAGTACAGAGACGAGAGTTTGGTGCTGGTCATCGCGTCTCCTTCTTCTTCTTCGAGGCGCGTGGTGTAGACGGTGCGCTCAAGACCCAGCACGAGCGTCAGGTCTGCTGCCATGTCCAGGCACACGCGTGGATCGTTGTAAAGCGACACGCACACGTCTGGAGCATCTAGTGAGTGCAGTGAGGAGCTGTCGATACGAAGCAGCACTGCGGCCGCGTCGTCTGCCGCGTCTGCGGTCACCGGCAGCGCGGAAGCCGCGGGTGATGCCATGAGGTTTCTTTGATTTGAGCGGGAGTGATGGTCGTTTTGTAGTGTGGCGCACACTAGATGCGTCAACATGCATCGGGACCATCTTGCAGGTATCTTGTATTTTGTATCACCTCGTGCAACAGGCGCAAAAGTAACCTGCTCCGTCGATATCGACAAGACCAGACATGGGCTTCTTATCTGTCCAGCGTCTCGTCATTGCTGCTACTACGAGATTTCGATTTTTGTGAGTATCTGCTTCCTTCTGATTGTAAAAAAACGCAGAAGTAGTAAGACGCAGGCTGCAAAGACTGGGGGATCAGTGTATCGTGGTGAGACCAAGACAGCTTACGTGCTGGCAACAATTGACCTTAGGTATTTCTAACGCACTCCCATTCCTCCTGGATCGAGTTATATCCAACTTTTACGTAATGCGGAGCTGACACGGCAATAGCTGATTTCCAATGTGCACGGCATCTTCAGCTACACTTAACGTCATATGTGCTAAGGTAAGGGTGCTGTAGCAAGTCCATATCCATTTTCCCTATCGACTCCATATCTTGTTCGAACGGGCATTATCAGAAGATTGATGGCTCGAGGACAGCCACGAAACAGTAAGGAATCTTACAAAGTGTGAATACGCAGATTTGACCACTGTCTTACGGAGTGCAGCAAGAGGACGACATGCTCTGGGCCAAAAATCAAATCGTACCAAAGTCGGAGTAGCACGGTTGCGTCTTCAACTGCTCTGAAACATACGATTGAATGGAGATCACAATGGTGGAACGTGAATCGAGAAAAAGTCTTTGGCACAAGTGATGCGCCTTCCATCTGCCCGTGACAGTCGCTTTCGTCCTCAAGTATCCTGCTTGCTCGACGACTGATCCAGTAGCAGCCACTAAGGTTCACAGGCGTGCTCGACATTACTTGCAGAATGTGTGAAAAAAGGCATAAGCTCCAACCGATTCGTCGTGCTGCAACTGATATCCTGTAAAGTATCAAAGTCTACTACTCAACATTGAGTTCACATTTTTCCAAACAAAAGCTTCCGCTCGGCTTTCTTGTCAACGAGCGTTCGTCAATCGACTAAGCAAAGTTTTGCGAGTGGAAAGTCGAGCGCATAGTTGAGCTTCTTTATATTTCCAAGATGTTGCGTGGGCTACATGCTGCTTCGCCACTTTCGTCGAGAACGCGCAGTTTGAAACGTGAGCGAACTCGGGTGGACGTGCCCAAAGGATAATTGGGCTCAGGAAAGCAGGTCCTCTTGATGGATGCTGCGTGTTCTTTCGGACTTGAGCTGTTGCACAATGCAACTCGATGCTAAGTGTTCGTGCAACGATTAGGCGGTGCTGGTCAGCGTGCGCACAATGGCTTTGCAAAGCATTCGCTGTATGGCTGCGATTGCCAGTATGTAATCGAGTAACGGCTGCCAGTGCACGATCTTATAACGAGATTCTTTCTCGTTGCCATACACGGAAGAGAAACGTGACGACAGAAATACACATCGCTGCCGTATCCTGATGCAGCTGAGCCCGAAGTAGCACTGGCAGCAAATCGAACCCAGTTCGTATTATTCGAAGATAACGCGTGGGTACAGTTCGGACTGGGAGCTGCTTTTTTTCTCGTGTCTAAATCATGCAAACGAAATGCCAGTCTGGTGAAGTGTCAACGTACGATTACGTGGGTTGTCTCTTGCAGTGCTTACTGCAAGCCCACGTACTCTGAGTTGCTACTCTGCAACTTGAAGCGCGTGTGTTAAATCGATTGAACAGACATACTTCGTGGTTCGTCAATATTGCAAGACATCCGCGGTAGCGTCATGGCAGTTGACTCGCCCGTTTCCGTCATCACAAGTTGACTGACATGGTCATTTGCAGCACGCAAAAAGCTCAAGCGCTGTGTTTGATCACCGCAACTATTCTCGCTGTCCTCACTATCAAAACTACCGCCGGACTGCAGCATAGTTTTGTACCATTTTTGAGTGCCCATCAGCCATACGCTTTTGTTCCCAATAGACTAGCTTTATCAGCATGCACAGGGCTGCATACTACATGCCATGTGCAAGCAACGGCACCACGACCTCATTATCGAATACACCGCGTCAACACACCCAAAAGACTCTTGAAGATTATCCTTGACTCGACGCTGCTATTTCTTGCCCTCGCTCTCTCCTGTCGCAGTTTGCTTGAACCACGACCACAAGGCACAGGGTGCACACGTGCCTAAATAATACTAGCTGATACCTTGCATCACACGACCTCTGCGATGTGCCATCACCGTCTCGCTCCCACCGCTTGGACCTTCAGAACTTAAAGTGAATGAGCATCAGCGTCGCTGCCATACTGAGGAACACGTGCGAGAGTGCATTGTGGTTGAACTTGTCCTTGCTCGGGGCCCAGACGAGGCCTTGGATGAGACCGCCGAGCAGCTTGACCCCGTACACAAGCAGCTCATTCGTCGAGTGGCTCCACTCCCAATTCCACGTCATGAAACACGCGGCGGGGCCAAAGACCATGACTGGGAAGAAGCCCGCAAAGAGGAACACCGCGTGCATACTGACGCTGGCCCAGACTGCTAGCACCACATAGACAATTGCAGCTAGACCAATGATCGAGTAGGCCCACGTCTCTGGGAGATGGCGGCTGGCAGCCAACGACAACAGCGCAAAGTTCGTAAAGATGGAACAGGCGAGCACGACGCGCCAGAGAGCGTCAATCAGAAAGTCCACAGTCGAGCGACTGAGGTTCACGCCAAAGATGCGCGCTGTCTTGACCATGTGCTCCTCCTGCTTGTGCGCAATGTCGCGCATTGCTTCAAAGGCCACGTGGTGTAAGAGTCCGCCGAGCGCGGCGGAGATCCCGAGCGCCATAAAGTACATGAGATACCACGAGAGATCACCCTTGTCTGTTGCTGCAAAGAGACCAATGTACACGGAGAAGGCAAAGCACTGCACGGCCAGGAGGTAGTCCGTGATGAAGCACGCAGGCTGCGCGTCCCACTCTTCGCCGGTGGTGGAGCGGTAGGCCCAGAGCGACCAGTTCTCGAGCTCCGCGGCGGCATGACGACACGCCTGCACGACTGTAGCGGACGCTTGGACGACGGTGGCGGACGCCGTGAGCTTGCGCTGCGTGGGAACGGCCCCTTGCGACGTTGCGACGGTGGAAGACATGACGTCGTAGTTCTCCTCCTCTGGGATGATGACGACTGACGTCTGACAGCTGCCAAGGGAGCTCTTGAGCTGGCTGGCTGGCTGGATGTCTGTGGTTATAAATAGAATCAGTCGCTGGCGTTTGAAGGAGTGACTGGAGTCAGCGAACTCGCTGCGACGTTCCGGAACTTATTTAGAAACGCACGGGAGGGGTGTGTGTACATTCAGAAACGACAGCGAAACGAGTTTTGTGCGAACTTAGTGAGAACGTCGCGCGACATGTGCGACGGACGAGGAATAGAAAACCGCTGTATGAGACATGCATGCTCCAGGTGTCTTTTGACGGGTAACTCGAAGTACACCTACATTTATTGCTTAATGCACCTACATTTATTGCGAAATACACCAACATAATTGATGGGCTACTCATTCAGCTTAATAAACTATGTTGACGAATGCTAAGAGAGCACCCCCTATTTAACAAGTGAGAGCCACAATTTAGCAAGAGAAGATCCATTTGATTTATGCCCCCATTGAATTAACGTTACACTGACCTCCTTCGTAAAGGAAAATTTACAACCTTCCACTGTCTTTCTTTTTTTTAGGTTAAAGGGTAACATCTTAACGGGATAGCCCGTTCAATGATATTGACACCAAACGGTGTCAATAGGGAGATTGTCTAGCATGTCAATTTCCTGCCAATATTGTCCGAGATGGAAAATATTATAGGTGCAACGGGGTGAATCGTTACATAACAATTTATAAGAAATTGGTAATAGAATATAACTATAAGAGTTATATTCTCAGAATATTGTCATAAGGACAAATATTCTGTAGCACTTACGAGTAGTTCCTAATTGGTTGATATAGGCCATTATATCAACCAACGAAGACGCGCCACGACAGACGCACGCAATGAGTGGTGAGCAGATAGTTGATTTACACATTTGTATTTAGACATAGTTAGATGAGGATAAACAGTGGTTTATTAACAGACATCAACTATTATAAATACAGTTCTACTTTTTACCTGAATCAAGTACTCGCTTCTTCTTACCGTCTTCCTCTGCACGTACGAGTGTACGTGAAGTTCCGAGGCACCGCCTTATTCTGTCATCAGAATAAGTAGCTTGTACTGTCACCAGTACAAGCTTCAGGGTGCCCCGTTTCGCCTGGTAGCACTTCGTAGTCCGTCCAAGGACCACGTCCACATCTAACATGAATATGTTGGATGATGAAGATGACCAAAGCTTTCACGCTACGCGTGACGGCTACTCCCATTTGAGCGATGTCGAATGGGATGCGGTTGAACGGATGGGTTCATCCATGGGCATCCATGCTGTTAGCGTCATGCTAGAGGCTCTCAATAGAGATGCCCAACATGCTACTATCGCCAAGTTCATTCAAAATGAACTTGACGCTGAACGCGAGAAAGTAGCCTTGCTTCACCAACAAGGTTCTCAACAATCAGAGTTGTTGAGAGAACAGGGTGCTCAACAATTTGAACTGTTGAGACAGCAGCATGCTGCTGCTGGTGGGTCGATGCACTCGCGTCGACCCGAAACCTTGAAGATTGACATCTCTAAGTATAGGGGAGTCGAAGAGGACTCCCTCCTGAGATGGTTTGTCGAATTAGACGACGCCATAAGGGCGCGTCGCATCGACGCGGGGATATGCAAGTTGCATTTGCCCAATCAAATCTGGCAGGACGTGCCAAGACTTGGTCATTGGGACTCAAGTTGCACGACCCATATGCGTTTGGGTCGTTGGAAGTCTTCAAGTCGCGGCTCAGACAAACGTTTGAACCGTCTAGAGCTGAGTTCAGAGCTCGAACCGAACCCTTGAAGCTTAAACAGGGTAAGCGTGATGTGCACGCTTACGCGCAACATATACGACATCTCACGAGTTGTATAAGTTCCAACCCGGTTGATGATCACACGTTGGTTTCGGTGTTCATGCAGGGTCTTGCGGATGGTCCCGTCAAGACTCACCTGTTCCGACTTGAACTAGATTCACTAGAACAAGCCATTTCCATTGCGGAACAGGAAGACTTCAGTCTGAGACAGGCTCGCGCCAGCTCGACATCATATCATCAACCGAGACGATATGACAGCAGAGGTCCAGAGCCGATGGAACTCTGTTATGTAGAGAGCGAGAAGGCTCGCTTTACAGACTACAAGAAGTTGCAGAAATGCAACAGATGTCAAAAGACAGGACACTGCGCTTACGAGTGTAGTGCCCCTCGTCCAGTGTCTCGCAACACTGGGCGTAGTGACCGCCCACCATGAGAAAGGGGCAGGGACGCGGGTCCGCTGTTGGCGCAAAGACGCAACAACGAGATGGACCGTCAAAAACGGACAGGATCAGTAGGTGCGGAGCACCCTACTGGTCCAGCAACGTCAAGAGAATTTGTAGGCCTCTTGATGGAGGTTGCTCCCAACACACTAACGTTGTGCGTTGCTGCTCCAGGTAACGAGATCTCACTCATTACCTTGAAACTCAAAGTGACGAATAAGTCGTCCCTTCGAGCTCTAGTCTATTGTGGGGTGTCTAACAATTTTGTCGACGCCAATCGCTAGAAGATGTTCACTTCAAGTTTGTTGAATGTGACACACCTCCTACGAGGATAACGGTACGTCTTGCGACAGGCGCATCCGTAACCGTCATGAAGCGTATAGTGAATATCCACTATGCGCTAGAAGATACCCAATATGACGATGACTTTATCGTATTGGATTTGGATGACAAATTTGATGTCATCCTTGGAATACCGTGGCTCAGAAGGTACGAACCACGGGTAGACTGGCAACATCGAACAGTAACGATGCCTGTCGCTTGTTCATCGGATGGTCATCTGATGAACGTTTTGGAGCGTCCACAAGCGTGTGGATGTACTACGAGTGTGTGCGATGGCCTCACTTGTGGTACGGTCGTTAGTACGACTGCACAACCTTAGTGTACCAAACGGTTACACTTCGGAGCAAAGTTCCGGCGGCTGTGAGGAAACACAGGCTGCGCCGAAGGTCCACCACTCGAATAAGTCGAGTGGACCGGGAAAAAGATGTATCCCTAAAGGGGAACATCTAGAAGAGAAACAATCGATCGCTCAGGTTAGGCGAAACGATAATCCTAGATCGACTGGAGAGTCTTTCGTAGAGGATCTCGCTGTAGTTGCACAACCACAGCTAGAGGAAGTTAAGGGAATAAGTCCCGATATTACAAATACGGCGGAAGTAAGTTCCCCAAAACCTGAGGGAATAATTCCCCGGGAAGCCGAAGGAATAAGTCCTTCGAGGCCTGAGGGAATAAGTCCCCAGGAAATGACAGAGACATTGAATGTCATAGTCAATAACGGATCAAGTGTAGGCGCTTATACACTCGATCTGATTGCGCCTCCGAAGTTGACTTCGGAGATCACTCAGTTGCCAATGCTCGAACATAAAAGGTTCTTGCGTGATCTGCGTAGTGGCAAAGTCAAGCAGATCTGCGTACTCGTCGCTGACGACGAGTGTGTAGCCGACATAAGGTCAGCAACAATGTTTACTGAGAACGAGAGAGTTCTCAGTAGTTCATCTATAGACGAGAGTTTCCTCGATGAAAAGACACGAGTTGAGCGATATGGCTCCCAATCGTGGGAATCGCTCAAGACAAATCCTCTCTATGAAGATTTGGTTGAATTCCAGGATGTATTCCCTGAAACTGTTCCGTGCGAATTACCGAAGGATAAAGGTACTCGACACGAGGTCGAGCTGAAACCAGGCTCAAAGTACTGTGTCATGAAGCAGTGGCCACTGCCTCGTGAACAAGTACTTGCAATTGACACATTCTTTGCCGATCGTTTAGCTGCGGGCCATGTGAGGGAATCAACTTCCCCACATAGCTCTCCGACCTTCTGTGTGCGAAAAGCAACAGGAGGGTGGCGGATTGTACATGTATTTAACAAGTCGAATGCTGCAACGGTACCGGCTCAGACGCCGATACCAAGGAAGGACGTAATCATTGATGGTATGTCAAAGAGTACCATCTTTTCGTCCATGGATTTGATGGATGGCTTCTATCAAATTCTTGTGCGAGAACGGGATATACCCTATACCGCAGTTAGCACGCCTAGCGGCATGCTCTGGGAATGGCTAGTAATGCCACAAGGGCTTAGTAATGCCCCTGCCACGTTCAACAGATGTGTATGACATCTGTTGAGACCAGTACGAGAATTCGCGCCGAGTTTTTTCGATGACGTATTCATCCATAGTCGGGCTATGGATGGAAAGTCGGACGTTGAGGTTCACAGGTACCACGTCCGACAGGTTCTTACAATCATGCGAAAGCATCAATTGTGTGCAAACCTCAAGAAGTGTATATTTGCAGCAAGCGAAATACCACTTCTTGGGTGCATCGTTGGTAAGAACGGTGTACGTCCTGATCCCAAAATGATCAAGGCGATCACCGACTGGCCTGTGCCGGTTGATGTCAAAGGTCTTCGAAAATTCCTTGGGCTAGCGGCGTATTTGCACAAGTATTCACGCAATTACGCCGAGATGACTGTACACCTCTCTCGTTTGTTGAAAAAGAACGAGAGGTGGTTATGGAACGCTGAATGTCAGCGCTCCTTTGATGGTATCAAGCCGAGCTTTATACAATCCCCAGTCCTAGCAATAGCCAGTCAGGACAGGCCATTTCATGTGGTCTGCGATGCCAGCGATTTTGCAATCGGCTGTGCATTAATGCAGTACGATCTTGAAGGCGTTGAACGCGTCGTCTGCTATCAGTCGTGTCAGCCGCAACCAGCTGGGCGGAATTATCCAGTGCAGGACAAGGAACGCCTTGCCATGAAGTATGCACTCGCGAAGTTCAGAGTCTATCTATTGGGAGATAGACCCTCCATTGTCTACACTGACCATGCGTCACTACGCACGGCGGTGAACAGCCCGCACCTTTCACAACGAATGGCGTGGTGGTTGTCATTCTTTGCAGAATGCAACTTTACGGTCGAGTACAAACCAGGACGAATTAATGTCGTTGCTGGTGCACTCTCACGTCGTCCCGAGTTTGAACCAGTCGTGAAACCCAACAGTGAGACAGTCACTGTTGCGGTTATGACGTCCACCATACCATCTTCAACGTTGCATGATGATGTGAGGCGGGCATACGCCCAAGATGTTGAGATAGTGAAGTTGTTGACACATCTCTCACAGCCATCTCGAGAATCGTTGAAACGATTACCGTCTGCGTTTAAATCTGCACCATATCGATACACTACTCGCAACGGTTTACTGTATTATACAGCCGTTACTGGTGACACACCACGTGTTGTCATTCCAGATGATACTGGTCTGTGTTTGCGGATCATGTTCGAGTATCACGATGCTCCTATAGGAGGACATCGTGGCCGGGAGAAAACATATATCACGGTGAGTCGAGACTTTTACTTGGCCCCGCCAGTATCAGTTTGTGCGAAAGTATGTTCGCGCATGCGAGACTTCGCAGTCTGTCAACGAGTGAAGTCAAGTCCTTCACTGCGTGCACCTTTACAGCCTCTACCAGTTCCGGCAGAGTGCTGGGAATCCATCTCAATGGATTTCGTCTTCGGTTCACCCAAAGACGCACGCGGGAATACGGGTATTCTCGTCTTTGTTGACAGATTCAGCAAATGGTACACCTTGTGGCTGTACCCGAGTCAATCACAGCAAGTAGCTGTGCTTGTGTCTTTATCGACACCATCTTCCGACTTCATGGGTTGCCCCGTGAACTCGTATCAGACAGAGATCCACGCTTCACTGCTGATTTCTGGCGTTCCGTGTTCAAATCACTCGGAACGCGCTTGAAGATGTCGACATCTGATCATCTAGAGTCAGATGGTCAGACGGAACGAGACAATCGTGTCCTCGAAGAGATGATTCGAGGATACGTACACTCCTTTGAGAGTTGGAGTGAGTTCTTGCCAATGGTAGAGTTTGCCATTAACAACTCGGTGCATGCGTCCACGACACATACACCGGTTTACGTGAATGGCTTGCGCCATCCGCGTGTACCCACCTTACTAGAGTGTAACTCTGGTTTAAGGGGGAGAGACGCGCGCGAGCAAAATCCGATTTGGTTCACACTCATCACGCTCTGACGAAGAAGTCATTGCGTTTGATGCCGATATCGATAACATCGATATCGAAGAAGATGATGCCAGTGAGAGTGCGGAAGCCCTTACTGAAGAAAAGATTGATGTTGCTGCAGTGCACTCACAGCGCACTGAAACTAACGAGTCATCAGATGAGTTCATACTGGCTTGCGTAACGGTAGTCCGTTTTGTGCAAGACTCCATCGCCGAAGCGGTGTATAAGCAAAAGCAAAACGCTGACAAGAATGGAAGGGCAAACACTCTTTTATTCAATAAAGGTGACTTAGTCCTACTGTCTACTGTGAACCTACCAAAGCATGTAGTGACTAACTTGGGTAGTAGTAAACTACTACCCAAGTACACCGGCCCATTTCGTGTATTGCGCCGCCTAGGCAATGCATACACGATCGAATTGTCACGTAAGATGCGAACGAATCCCACGTTTTACGTTGGTCGGCTTAAGCCGTACCATCAGTACGCTTCTTCTTCCGATGAAGAACGTCCTTGCGCTCAAGTATCTCACAGATAGCCTTGTGCTCCCGATGGTGACCATCGACAAGGGTCTGAAGAGCAGTTATCTTAGCCCGAGACCGCTCAACATCCCCACGAGCTACCCTTAGCTCGTCACGCAGAGACGTCAGAGCTCTCTCGTTCTCAAGCTGAGCAAAGGCAAACTCAGCTCGATGCTTCAAGACAGTGTCCGTCAGTTGGAGACGCCTGTCCCACTCATGTTCGAGATCGCCGCGTAACCCTTGCGTTACGCGATCAAAGAAGCTCTCGGGAACACACGCTTCCCCACGATTGTGTGGAGAGCCTCTTCCCTCCTCCTCCACCTCCATTAGAGGACTCTCGCGGTGGTCAGCGCTATCTGGCTGAGCAGCTGTTGAACCACCGCGACGTGAACGGACGTCGGACGAGTTACCTCGTCCGGTGGCGCGGCTATTCCCCGTAATGGGATACTTGGGAGCCCCGCTCCCTACTGATGGTTGACGTACTGGGTCTGGTTGAGCAGTACGACGCGGCACATCCTGTGCCGCAGAAGGACCGCCGGAGAAAGTCTTCCCGGCACGGTCGTAAAGGGATTTCAGGTTGTCAATCCCTTCTTACATCTCAGTAGAGATACGTACGCGCCACCACGGGCCATGAGGGAGGTAAGCCTCCTTAGGTGCGCGCGCAGAGTTGTTCACACAACAAGGGCACGAGTCTCCCCAGGGGAGACAGGGTAACCCTTTCTCCCTAGACAGACGATGCAGCTTGTAGAGTGCACCTGTCGGGGTTCGCTTTTCAAACTTATCACGGGATTTGATGAGTTTGTCGTTCCAAACGTCACGACCTACATCCTCAAGGTTATGCATGTAGGCGTTCCACGCTTGAAGCAGTGAGGTACCATCACGTTTGTGATTCCCACTGTAACATCGATGTTTAAAGAAAGCATCGATGAAGAAATCATTCTCAGCGCGATAGTTTATCGCACTGGGGTCAAGGTGATGGATCCTTGACGAATCGAACAACCGTGTCCGATAACGATCACTTGTCGTCGCCGACAAGCGATCCATGACTGACTTTGGAGGGAGCCATGCTTTCTTATCGGGAGCGAGACGCAACACGCTGCGGCCCCGCTCTTCCTGCGGCTTGCCGACAGAAGTACTGGCACCTCGTTGCGAAGTGGTGTCAATAGGAGAACCAACACCACTGTGAGCGCCCGAGTCTTGCGATCTCGAGCGCCTTCGCTTTGGCGATGGTTTGTCTGATTTGTCAGACGAACCAAAGATGCTACGACGCGTAGCATCATCCATGCCACGCTTGACAGGCGGCTTGGCTTCAACCGCCTTCGATACGGATCCGTCTTCCGTATCAGGAGAGTATGAGACACCGAGCTCATACTCTGTAAAGACATGAGTGTATGACGAGCGTCTGCATCACCAGGTGATACAGACTGAGACGCTTTAGCAACCGATGAGACATCAGCTGCTTTAGCTTCTGCTTCGGCGTCCGCACAGAGACGTGCAGACGCGCTCTCTGCGGCCTTGTTCGCGCACCGCATGGACTTGTAAACCATGCGATGAAACTGATGGACTGTAGACTCGGACCAACAAGTGCAAACCCCGTCCCAAATGATTTGGGACGAGTATCCATTTAGTCAATCAGTCACTAAAGTGACTGATGATTATGGGGGAGTGATGTAACGGGGTGAATCGTTACATAACAATTTATAAGAAATTGTTAATCGAATATAACTTTAAAAGTTGTACTCTCAGAATATTGTCATATGAACAAACATTCTGTAGCACTTACGAGTAGTTCCTAATTGGTTGATATAGGCCATTATATCAACCAACGAAGACGCGCCACGACAGACGCACGCAATGAGTGGTGAGCAGATAGTTGATTTACACATTTGTATTCAGACATAGTTAGATGAGGATAAACAGTGGTTTATTAACAGACATCAACTATTATAAATACAGTTCTACTTTTTACCTGAATCAAGTACTCGCTTCTTCTTACCGTCTTCCTCTGCACGTACGAGTGTACGTGAAGTTCCGAGGCACCGCCTTATTCTGTCATCAGAATAAGTAGCTAGTACTGTCACCAGTAAAGGTTCAGGGTGCCCCATTACACACATATCACATGCCCTCGATAAACAAGCAAAGACTCCCTTTCAGAATGAACATTCCCTAAATTATGGTGTTTAAGTCTCTCATAGGAGCGCCAAGGACCGCACTTTTGTCTCAGTGGAATGTCTTTTACGTATTCACTTCGGTCGCGAGAGCAAGCCAGGCGCAAAACGTGCAAGAACTACCAACACTAAGAATCACTCGGCCTTATTCCGAACAGAAAACTACACACAGCACCTGAAATCACAGCACCCCGAAAGGTGGCAGGAGTACTAAGGACTTTCTAACGAGCTCAAGAAGGGCTACTTTGAGAAGGTTCAGCCGGTGAAAGTACACCTTATGTTCACATTTCGGATCTCAGCAGGTGCCGAGGCAGCATAAAATCAATTGTCGACAAAATCATTGGAGAAATGCTTTGGGATCCAGATGAGGTTGAGGCTAGAGTCACACAGAGATGATGCAGCCATTTCTTGACATTGCTGACGGGTCTGAAAACCTTGAAAATGGAGAAGGTGTTGACTACTACCATGTTTATGTCAAGAATTTCCTGCAATTCGACCTTAGTGTTGGACATTTGGCAGCTGCATACGCGCTTCGTCAGAGTTCTTGTATTTTGCTGTCTATGAGCGAGTTGACAGGATTTACTAAAATTGGGTGTGCCAGTGACGCAACTGTAGCCAAGTATGCTCGATTTGCTGTTGCTATCGATTTACAAAAGATTGCAGAGCTGTTAGAGCAGTCTTGGACATTCTCTATTGCACTGGATAAGACAACACACATGAGCACTTCATACCTCGACATCTGAATCCGTTGTAATCTTCTTATGTATGACATCTTCAATGTCCACTTTTAGCGGTTCCAATGTAAAAACGACACACTGGCGAGGTCTTATTCTCGACGGCTCATGAAGAGTTCGACACTGTGCTACCTCAATGGCGTAACCTCATCATTGACACCTCTTCAGATTGCGAAACAATGACAGGCCGATTGAGCGGTTGTGCCACCAGGTTCCAAAATGGTGCAAAGCCTGGTTTTATTCGAGTTTGGTGTGGCGCGCACCAGCTGGACATCGCATAAAACGATGTGTACGCCCACTTCGGTCATGACGAGTTTCACGGAGTGTTAATCTCCATCATTTCCTACCTTCGTCGACTGCAGAACTTGAATGAAATGAAGACGGTTTGCATGAAACTCTCTACCTTCCATTGGGAGTCTATGAGCAAAGTCGGTGACTGGTTCAAGGCCAAACGTGTCCGTGTTCGCGCTTACTTTGCCGGAAAAACACTGTTGTGTAAGCCGTCCGACTGTTGGTGGGCTTACATCAGGATTGCTGAATCCTTACAGTAAGCGCCACGGTGACATTCAAGAAGCTATAGGAACTTTCTGTCACGTTGTCAAAACATTAAGAACACTTGAAGAGCTCGATGTTGTTCTACGTCAAATGCGTCGGCGCCAAAGGCCGTTCCTGGAGAATGGTGGTGAGGCGGACACACTAGGTAATATTGAATGACACGCATCGTGTAACGGGGCACCCTTTGTTTGGGGTGCCGCGAAACTTCACGTACACTAGTACGTGCAGAGGAAGCTAAACTACTTGAACAACTCGGTCATGTAAAGGTAAAAAGAGAACTGTATTTAAAATAGTTAAGCTATCAATACAAATTCAATCTTTTTATCTAACTATCTTAAACTAAGCCGTTGTATGACGAAAACCTGCTCACCACTCATTGCGCGCGTCTAGCAGCGATTGGCGGCAATCTATGATTGATATGTCTTATTTCAACCAATCTTGGAGCAGCGCATGAATATTATCCAAAAGGAGATAATATTCCTTCAAAAAATTTCATCTCGGATAATATTGGTAGAATATTGTCATGCTAGACAATCTCCCTATTGACACCGTTTGGTGTCAATTTCATATAACGGGCTACCCCGTTACAGCTTTTGCAAACTCATCACATACCTTTCATTAAAGGGAATTTTGCATTGCACAAAATGACAATGATGAGCCCCAATGCCGTTTTGGAGCTGAATAAACAGTGATCCGTACATAATATTCAGTCAATCCGTAAACAATCTATTTGCGATATTTACAGTTGAATCCAATATAAAGAGGCCAGCCTATCGGTGGTTCAGTAACTCGAAAATAATTATTAGATATGGCACGTGTTGAATACATATTTACACTACCACATACGCGCACATTATTGTGCAGCAGCTACAGATTGATGCATCTGGACAAATGCGGCCTCCGAATAGTCTCTTTCTCGTGGCACGCACTGGGACGCCAGTAACGCTGACAGCTTTATATCAATTATGCGTTGTGCGTGTGCAAAGTGGCAGTTGCTAGAATTGTCGACTGGGATCAGAATAAGGCGTTGCCTCGGAACTTCACGTACACTCGTACGTGCAGAGGAAGACGGTAAGAAGAAGCGAGTACTTGATTCAGGTAAAAAGTAGAACTGTATTTATAATAGTTGATGTCTGTTAATAAACCACTGTTTATCCTCATCTAACTATGTCTGAATACAAATGTGCATATCAACTATCTGCTCACCACTCATTGCGTGCGTCTGTCGTGTCGTGTCTTCGTTGGTTGATATAATGGCCTATATCAACCAATTAGGAACTACTCGTAAGTGCTACAGAATGTTTGTTCATATGACAATATTCTGAGAGTACAACTTTTAAAGTTATATTCGATTAACAATTTCTTATAAATTGTTATGTAACGATTCACCCCGTTACATCACTCCCCCTAATCATCAGTCACTTTAGTGACTGATTGACTAAATGGATACTCGTCCCAAATCATTTGGGACGGGGTTTGCACTTGTTGGTCCGAGTCTACAGTCCATCAGTTTCATCGCATGGTTTACAAGTCCATGCGGTGCGCGAACAAGGCCGCAGAGAGCGCGTCTGCACGTCTCTGTGCGGACGCCGAAGCAGAAGCTAAAGCAGCTGATGTCTCATCGGTTGCTAAAGCGTCTCAGTCTGTATCACCTGGTGATGCAGACGCTCGTCATACACTCATGTCTTTACAGAGTATGAGCTCGGTGTCTCATACTCTCCTGATACGGAAGACGGATCCGTATCGAAGGCGGTTGAAGCCAAGCCGCCTGTCAAGCGTGGCATGGATGATGCTTTGCGTCGCAGCATCTTTGGTTCATCTGATGAATCAGATGAACCATCGCCGAAGCGAAGGCGCTCGAGGTCGCGAGACTCGGGCGCTAACAGTGGTGTTGGTTCTCCTATGGACACCACTTCGCAACGAGGTGCCAGTACTTCTGTCGGCACATCGCAGGAAGAGCGGGACCGCAATGTGTTGCGTCTCGCTCCTGAGAAGAAGGCATGGATGCCTCCCAAATCTGTCGTGGATCACTTGTCGGCAACGACGAGTGATCGTTATCGAACACGGTTGTTCGATTCGTCAAGGATCCATCACCTTGACCCCAGTGCGATAAACTCTCGCGCTGAGAATGATTTCTTCATCGATGCTTTCTTTAAACATCGATGTTACAGTGGGAATCACAAACGTGATGGTACCTCACTGCTTCAAGCGTGGAACGCCTACATGCATAACCTTGAGGATGTAGGTCGTGACGTTCGGAACGACAAACTCATCAAATCCCGTGATAAGTTTGAAAAGCGAACCCCGACAGGTGCACTCTACAAGCTGCATCGTCTGTCTAGGGAGAAAGGGTTACCCTGTCTCCCCTGGGGAGACTCGTGCCCTTGTTGTGTGAACAACTCTGCGCGCGCACCTAAGGAGGCTTACCTCCCTCATGGCCCGTGGTGGCGCGTACGTATCTCTACTGAGATGTAAGAAGGGATTGACAACCTGAAATCCCTTTACGACCGTGCCGGGAAGACTTTCTCCGGCGGTCCTTCTGCGGCACAGAATGTGCCGCGTCGTACTGCTCAACCAGACCCAGTACGTCAACCATCAGTAGGGAGCGGGGCTCCCAAGTATCCCATTACGGGGAATAGCCGCGCCACCGGACGAGGTAACTCGTCCAACGTCCGTTCACGTCGCGGTAGTTCAACAGCTGCTCAGCCAGATAGCGCTGGCCACCGCGAGAGTCCTCTAATGGAGGTGGAGGAGGAGGGAAGAGGCTCTCCACACAATCGTGGGGAAGCGTGTGTTCCCGAGAGCTTCTTTGATCGCGTAACGCAAGGGTTACGCGGCGATCTCGAACATGAGCGGGACAGGCGTCTCCAACTGACGGACACTGTCTTGAAGCATCGAGCTGAGTTTGCCTTTGCTCAGCTTGAGAACGAGAGAGCTCTGACGTCTCTGCGTGACGAGCTAAGGGTAGCTCGTGGGGATGTTGAGCGGTCTCGGGCTAAGATAACTGCTCTTCAGACCCTTGTCGATGGTCACCATCGGGAGCACAAGGCTATCTGTGAGATACTTGAGCGCAAGGACGTTCTTCATCGGAAGAAGAAGCGTACTGATGGTACGGCTTAAGCCGACCAACGTAAAACGTGGGATTCGTTCGCATCTTACGTGACAATTCGATCGTGTATGCATTGCCTAGGCGGCGCAATACACGAAATGGGCCGGTGTACTTGGGTAGTAGTTTACTACTACCCAAGTTAGTCACTACATGCTTTGGTAGGTTCACAGTAGACAGTAGGACTAAGTCACCTTTATTGAATAAAAGAGTGTTTGCCCTTCCATTCTTGTCAGCGTTTTGCTTTTGCTTATACACCGCTTCGGCGATGGAGTCTTGCACAAAACGGACTACCGTTACGCAAGCCAGTATGAACTCATCTGATGACTCGTTAGTTTCAGTGCGCTGTGAGTGCACTGCAGCAACATCAATCTTTTCTTCAGTAAGGGCTTCCGCACTCTCACTGGCATCATCTTCTTCGATATCGATGTTATCGATATCGGCATCAAACGCAATGACTTCTTCGTCAGAGCGTGATGAGTGTGAACCAAATCGGATTTTGCTCGCGCGCGTCTCTCCCCCCTTAAACCAGAGTTACACTCTAGTAAGGTGGGTACACGCGGATGGCGCAAGCCATTCACGTAAACCGGTGTATGTGTCGTGGACGCATGCACCGAGTTGTTAATGGCAAACTCTACCATTGGCAAGAACTCACTCCAACTCTTAAAGGAGTGTACGTATCCTCGAATCATCTCTTCGAGGACACGATTGTCTCGTTCCGTCTGACCATCTGACTCTAGATGATCAGATGTCGACATCTTCAAGCGCGTTCCGAGTGATTTGAACACGGAACGCCAGAAATCAGCAGTGAAGCGTGGATCTCTGTCTGATACGAGTTCACGGGGCAACCCATGAAGTCGGAAGATGGTGTCGATAAAGACACAAGCACAGCTACTTGCTGTGATTGACTCGGGTACAGCCACAAGGTGTACCATTTGCTGAATCTGTCAACAAAGACGAGAATACCCGTATTCCCGCGTGCGTCTTTGGGTGAACCGAAGACGAAATCCATTGAGATGGATTCCCAGCACTCTGCCGGAACTGGTAGAGGCTGTAAAGGTGCACGCAGTGAAGGACTTGACTTCACTCGTTGACAGACTGCGAAGTCTCGCATGCGCGAACATACTTTCGCACAAACTGATACTGGCGGGGCCAAGTAAAAGTCTCGACTCACCGTGATATATGTTTTCTCCCGGCCACGATGTCCTCCTATAGGAGCATCGTGATACTCGAACATGATCCGCAAACACAGACCAGTATCATCTGGAATGACAACACGTGGTGTGTCACCAGAAACGGCTGTTTAATACAGTAAACCGTTACGAGTAGTGTATCGATCTGATGCAGA